CCAGGCTTTTCTTCCATGGTACTACTGAGTGGGTTCGAACCACCAAACTTTAGGTTAGTTATACCTAACTTTAAAAAAATAAATTTAGCAAGACTTCTGAATGCATGATCAGTATACTGAAATAAATTGTGTATCTATATATTAGCAACAAATAGAAAACGAAATTTACATCTACAACATTTACAAAAGCATCAATTGACATCAAATTGTCCAGGACTATACCTAATAATAGAAGCACAGTACCTCTACATAAAATAACTAAAAAAATTACTAAAAGTAAAGAATATTTAAATAAATGAAGGATATAACAAGTTCACTGTTTGGAAGACTCAAATTTATAAATAAGTCAATTCATCCAACCCCAAATTGATCTGTAGATTTCAGTGTAATCCCAAAATGTCCAAAAGTTTTGTTCGTTTGTTTTTTTAATGAAAATCAAGAAGCCAAATTTAAAATTTCTATGGAAAAGCAGAGTGCTAGGAAGAGCAAAGGCAATCTTAAAGAACAAAGTGGAATGACCCAGACAACAATTTTTTTATTTTAAAGTACAGTAATTAAGTGTGTATGATATTGGTTCAAGGAATTTACAAACAAGACCCAACCATATAAGGGTACCTGGTTTATGACAAAACCTGGAGCTGTCGAGTTGATTCTGACTCATAGTGACCCTATAAGACAAGAGTAGAACTGCCCCATAGGGTTTCCAAAGATCAGCTGGTGGATTCCAACTGCTGACTTTTTTTTATTAGCAGCCTTAACCTCTGTGCCTCCAGGGCTCCGTTTATGACAAAGATGCCACTACAATGCAGTGGGGGAATTTATAACATTACGATAAATAATGCTGGATCATTTTGATATTTATATGGAAAAAACTCCTACCTCATACACTATATAAAAATTAATCCTAGATGGACTATACTCCTAAATGTGAAAGGTAAAACAATGAAGTTATTAGAAGATAATATAGGATAATATCATTATGACCTTGGGATAGGCAAAGATTTATTCAACAGGACACAAAAATCTTAACTATTAAAAAAGAACGATGTGTGTGGTTTCATTAAAATTAATAACCTCAGTTTATTATCAAAATAAACCATTATGAGAGCAAAAGGATAAAGCAGAGTCTGAAAAGAAATGTGTTTTATATGTTATTTATTATGAAAAAGACTTATATCCAGGCTAAAATGCAATTTCTACAGACCAAGAAACCCAAGCGGGGGAAAAAAGGCAAATTTCTTTGCAAAATAGGATATACAAATAAACCTAATCATATGTAAAAGTGCTCAAATTCATTAGTCATCTGGGAAATTCAGATTCAAACCTCAAGGAAATCACCCTGCCCTCACCCTGACAAAGACCTGCTCCTTGTGCGAGAATCTCTGTTCTGTGAAACACTCAGGATTTCCTGCCCTGGCCGCCCGCTTCCCTGGCCCCAGCCCTCCCAGCTGGGGGGCCCCCGCCCCTCTGTACCTGTGGTGGTCACGGGTGCAGAGTCTGCTTGCTGGAATTTGAGTCCATGCTCCCGGCTGCTGGACAGGTGTCTTCAGCCGCCAGGCATCCCAGCCCGGGCTCCGTGGTGCACTCCTTGCTGGAAGTGGGGCCACTTGGACTGGGCAGTGTGTGGCGGACTCAGCCAGGGGCAGCTCCATAGGCGCAGGTGCTGCCGGCCACCTGCACCCTGCCTGCCTGGTGCTCACTGTGTGAGGAGAGTATGAGGGAAGGGAGTGGGGTGCGCCAGGAAGAGAGAGGGGAGGCCCAAGCTGGGAGGAGGTGGAACGTTGGCCAACTTCCCCGCCCCCTGCCCCCCGACCCTATCCCCACCCCTCCATCCCCCCTACACCCGCTAACCCCCCGGGTTCCAGACTGGGGTTAAATACTCCTGGCCTCACCACTCCTTCTTCCCTGTGCCCTGGTCTAGTGTGCAGCGAGGGTGTGGGTTGGCAGAATCGTTAATTCGTTAATGCGCAAAATAGTTGAAGAGCAGATGTTATGGATTGAATTGTGTCCCCCCAAAATGTGTCAACTTGGCTAGGCCATGATTCCCAGTATTGTGTGATTGTCCACCATTTTGTTATCTGATGTGATTTTCCTGTGTGTTGTAAATCCTACCTCTATGATGTTAATGAGGCAGGTTTAGAGGCAGTTATGTTAGTGGGGCAGGACTCAATCTTACAAGATTAGGTTGTGTCTTAAATCAATCTCTTTTGAGATATAAAAGAGAGATGCCAGCAGAGAGACTTGGGGACCTCATACTACCAAGAAAGTAGTGTCAGGCGAGTAGTGTCAGAAGAGTGGGTCCTTTGGACTTGGGGTCCCTGTGCCGAGAAGCTCCTAGTTCAGTGGAAGACTGATGACAAGGACCTTCTTCTAGACCTGATAGAGAAAGCCTTCCTCTGGAGCTGACGTCCTGAATTTGGACTTCTAGCCTACTGCCTGTGAGAGAATAAACTTGTTTGTTGAAGCCATCCACTTGTGGTATTTCTGTTATTACAGCACTAGGTAACTAAGACAGTAGATTTTTTACTGTTGTCGTAAATGCAAAAAGTTAGATAATGAGAGAATTGATAAGTGAGAAGTATATGTACTAGTACACAATCAGAGGAACAAAAAAGAAAAAAACTATACCAAATGCTGGTAAGGATGTAGGGCAATAGAAATGCTTGTATACTGTTGGTACACAAACACTTTGGAAAACTGTTTGGCACTATCTGTTAAAGTTTATCACACATTGTCATGGATTGAATTGTGTCACCAAAAATATCTTCCAGCTTGGCTAGGTCATGATTCCCAGTATTGTATGATTGCATAATCTGATGTGATTTCCTTATGTGTTAGAAACTCTGTCACTATGATGAGTTTATACTGATGATGTCTACAAGATTGGAGAGTGTCTTAAGCCAATCTCTTTTGAGATATAAAAGAGAGGAGCAAGAAGAGACACGTGGGAACCTCATACCACCAAGAAAGCATACCAGGAGCAGAGCGCGTCCTTTGGAACTGAGGTTCCTGTGCAGAGAAGCTCCCAGACCAAAGAAAGATTGATGACACGGACCTTCCTCAAGAGTTGATGGGGAAAGACTTCCCCTGGAGCTGACACCCTAAATTTGGACTTGTAGCCTACTGGACTGTGAGAGAATAAACTTCTCTTTGTTAAAGCCATCCACTTGTGGTATTTCTGTTAGAGCAGCACTAGATGACTAAGACACACATATTCCATTCAGACCAAGTAATTTCACTCACACTGATATATTAAAAAGAAATGTATGCATATAGACACCAAAAGATATGTACAAAAATGTTACTGCCTGCAGTATTCTTAAAAGCCCAAAACTGTACACAACCCAAATGTTCATTAGAAGTAAAATGGATTGAAAAAAAGTATGGTGTATTCACACAATGGAATATCATATAGCAATTAGAAAAACACCTAATACTATACAGCAATGAAAAAGAGTAAACCACTGCTACATAATGTAGATGATTCCATGAACATAATGTTAAGGGAGGTCCCTGGGTGGCACAGTCTGTCTTGACTACTAACCTAAAGGTGGGTGATTCAAACTCACCCAGTGGTGCTGTGAAGAAAGGCTTGGCAATCTGCTTCCATAAAGCTAACAGCCAAGAAAACCCTATAAAGCAGTTCTACTCTGTGTAACACATAGGGTTGCCACGAGTTAGAATTAACTTGACAACCATGAGTTTGACTTTTTTGGTTTAATGCTAAGGGAAAGAAACCAGCACAAAAAGCACATATTGTTCGATTGCATTTACACAAAGTTAAATGTGGCCTATACTAATATATAACGATTAAAGTCAGAATAGTGGTTTTGTTTGTTGGGAATAATGTTTGCGAAGTGGCAAAGGAGGTTTCTGAGATCATGATTACGGACTACAACTTGATTAGGGCGGTGGTTAAACAGGTATGTTCAGTTTGTAAAAATCTATAGCATGGTAACTTAGGATTTGTGTTTTTCCCTGTATATGTATTTAAAGACAAGTTTACAACAAAATAGGAGAGAGTAGCAGGCCCAGCCATTAAAAATACAGCATGAATTCTACTGGAATACACTATTATATCAACTTTCATGTATCTTCGACTAAGTAAAAGCCGTAAGTACACAGGAGTCTTCTAAATGCTACAAATATCGTCTAAGAATATAATCTCAGAATTTAGCTACATTTTGCCAATGTGGTAATGATAGTGGACATTTAAGAGTGTAAATCTAAACATGCAGTATACCTCAAATGACCCCATTTTAATATTGGATAATTTAAATTTTATCATAACAGCAACACTGGCAAGCAGAAGCTGTATCTTAAAAGTGAGATGGATGCATGTACTTGCTTGATCAAACTTTCCCAGAAACTCAGCAATCTAATCCTTCAGTATGAATCACATTACTATTAGCTGGAATTTTTCCAACTGCGAGGGCAAAAGGGTGAAAACGTTTAGTCATTGCCAAATTCTCACAGTGTGTTTCTTTGGACCACCAAGTAGAAAACTCCATACATGTTTATCCAGTCAACTAGTTTATTTAAAAATTCTATGTATGCCATCTATTTTTTGCTTAAACATTTTGTCATTAGGCTATTAAATTTTTTAAGATAATGTTTTTATTACCCCAACAAATTTATAGAGAAAATGAATAAGCAAACTACTGAGGAACAACCCTGTAATTGTAAAATTAACAGAAAATACCGTTGGCCTTTTCAGAAACCTCACTGGAGCATACATATCTATACATGCTACTGTGTTCTGGAGAGGAAAACAGGTCATGAAGAAGTGAGTGAAGAACACACAGACATTTTTAGAAAACGATCATGTTTGTAGTAACCAAAAACCCAAACCTGTTGCTGCTGAGTTGATTCCAACTCATAGCAACCCTATAGGTCAGAGTAGAACTGCCCCATAGGGTTTCCAAGGAGTGGCTGGTAGATTCGAACTGCTACCTTTTGGTTTGCAGCCGAGCTCTTAATCACTACATCACCAGGGTTTCCCATGTTTGTAATAAAACCTAAAAAATGTCAAATATAAAATGGCCATATTCTGACCATTAAAGAAGCATATATGCACACAATGTATTATTGGATTATTGCAATTCTCAGTTATGAAACCTGAGATGTGAGCTATATTATCAGTCAGGAGAAAAGAAAAAAAGAAAAAGAACATTAAATCTGTATCAAAGCTTTAAGAAGATAAAAGGACTAATCTTTTTAACACTTTCCTTTGGACATTTTCTACCTAATGTTTTTCTTTGTAAAGTGTTTCCAAATCATTTGCTTAGTATTTACTTAAACTAACTTCTTTAAAAAAAGAAAACAAAAAACACCTAACTTAAGCAAGTCATGCATGCTCTGCAGCTCCAAGCATAAAATTCAAACAAGATATCCTCTGTAAAGCAAATATATTTATTATGCATTTTCATATACATAGGGATTTTTGCATAATATAATACAAGGAATATAATAAAACTTTTACAATGTGAAATTCAATGTACAGTTTAGGCTATTTACAGACCTCAAACCAAAAAAGAAAGCTTTTGTCTGCAACTACATTTGCTGAGAAGTGTAAATGGAGGACATTAAGCACAACAAACATTTGCATAGCCAAAATAATATTGAGAAAAGTACTTACTCCTGTTTTTTAAGTAGTGAACTCTTTTTAGTGAGGATTCCGGTTGGGGTGGAGAGGGGGCGAGGGACAAAAGACAGGGATGTACGCTGCAGCACACACTAAAGAGTTCTGGTCAATTTTCCTTCCAAGACCTTTCCAACAAACCTTCAGATTTTTATTTTTAATTACTGTATTTTATCACTTCCCTTATTATCAACTCATGACTTTTATGGAATGGGAACAGATGCAAAGTTATAAACATGTTATAAGCACATGGCATCATAGTTGTATAGTGGCAACAGCTGATTTACAAAATTTAAACATTTTCATTTCAAAAATAGCTATTTAGGAGTTTTATACCTGGGGGACTAGATTTGTTCTTCTTAATGGAACAGAAGGCATTTTCAGTCATGACATTCAATCCCCCAGAGAAACCAGTAAGCAAGGCAGGGCATCGCCAGCACCCTCATCATCCGTATCCTAACTGAAAGCCATTTAGGACCTATTCTAAAAAATAATTTCTATAAAAACATCCAGAGGAACACTTACTTTTGATAACCATGTTTTTCCAACAGCTTCTCTTCCTACCAACTGTTTCAAGTGTATATACTATGGATATGAAAACATTCAGCTCTTTGAAAAACATAAATCCCTTATGTAACGAGTCATATCTCTGCCCTTTGGCCACAAGGTGCATTTTTGTAACAAACAATAAAATTAAATAAATATAATTCCAATAATTCAAGGTTAACAGAAAAACTGGCAGCTTTCAGGGTTCTTTCTGAAGAAAAATACACCTAATAAGAAATTAGAATTTCATCTTCTACAGTGTTGTAAATGTACTGTATTTGAGACACGATTAAAACTAGTTTAATAGGATGTGTTCATATTTATTAAAAGAATCACTGAAACTCTTAAGGCTACTTTGCAAGAGTTCTATTAAGTGTATCTAATAAATGTCCCATAGGGACAAGAATTCAATACTTGAAACATTCACATTCGAGTTATCAGTATTGCCATGTCACCTTAATATTGACTGAATTTACCTTCTATTCCTGATTATGACATATCAATGACATAAACAAAATGGGTTTTGCTGACTTTAAAGAAAAGCCTTACACTAAGATTCAAGTGGAGTATTTGCCACAACAAATCACACATTTCTGTGTATAATGCTTCACGTGTCCTTCATATACGAAGATGACATTACTGACCTCTGTTATTATGTCATATTACAAAGATTTTTCTAGTAGTAGCAATGGTTTTGTGCTGAATCTCCAAATTTTTTCTTCATTCCTCCTTATCGACAGCACATGGAAAGAATAGTTTTTGTTTTTCAAGATTAACAGGGCTCATTCAAAGATCAAACCCCACAACCTCGGCTTCTAAACAATTGTGCTTATCTTCCCAGACATACACACACCAACCCATCTAAAGTTAGAGCCACTGGTTTGGAGTGCATCCAGGGGGCCAAGGCTGTGGGTCACATGCTCAGCTGAACCAGTCAACTTCGCTTTTTTCGGTCAGAGACTTCACCCTTAACCCTGGCACTGAGCCACCCTGCATGCAAACTGTCAAAAGAATGGGGAAGAGTATGTAAATAGAAAAGTGCAAATCCATCACTATTATTTATCAAATAATAAAAAAAATACATGTGTGCTATGACTGATGGGTTAGTGGTATAACCTGTGAAGGACAGCACATATTATTTTGTTAAGAATCATCATCCAACTAAACCATTAAAACTGATCCAACTGACTTTGAGCAGGGGCTCTTTTGGTCATGCAATGATTTACAAAATAAAAACAGCTGAGACAGAAACCAGCATTAATATTTATAATGGTAAATTACATTTTCTTAACTGGAAGGACGAGAGAAATAAGGGTCAATGAACTCTTCAGGGATCCCAAATCTACCCTCAGATAGCTGTACTGCCCTCTGCACACACGTGCAACTGAGGCACAGATTTTTCCCCGAGAATTTTCACGCCTCAGGAATGACGGTCTGTCTTCTTGGAGGTGGAATGACAAGTGAGTGGAAGGTGAAGTAGCATCCCAGCGAACGAAACAGAACTTTGTTCTGCCTGCTGTCTGCTGTTTGTTTCTTTCCATTTTGGACACTCTCAGCAGAGATGAGGATTCTACTGGGAAAATCCAGACTTAAAAACTACTTAGAGTAGCTCCCTAAAAATACTAGAATTTAAAAAAAAAAAAAAAAAAATCTGTCAATAAACCATTTTTTACCTCAATATGGCATTTATATAGAAACTTACTTTTATCCAATGCAGAAGGTGTAGTGAACATAAAACGGTTGCGAAATTTATTTTATTGAGCAACATTATTTTTAAAGATACAAGAAACAGTCCATACACTACAACAATGCAAACGTGACTGAAACAATATGCTTAAGTTTCTTTTGCCATAAAAAGAAAAAAAAATAAATACAAAGAACACTGCCTTTTCACATATACTTGACCATGGCACACGAGCATGTATCAACTCTTAACTTAAAATACTTTACTCAGAATTTTTTTTAGCTTTTATCAGGGAACTGCAGTATATATCTGCATTAAAAAAAAAAAAAAAAGTGCTTATTCTTGTGTAGTAAATACAAAGCACACAAAATGAAATTTCTGAAGCACAGAGGGTTACACTGAGAAGGCAGCCTTACTATGTAGGCACAGTAATTAAGGTAACTGTACTGCAGATATCACATTCTTCATTTTTTTTTCAGCAAATCAACAGGCATTTTATGTTTTCATCCAGTAACTGAAGCACCACTCCAATCACAATGTCTTCTGTTTCACAGAACAGGAAACTAATGATGCAAAAGTTAAAAAAAGTTAGATTAATATCTGTATTGTACTTACTGTATAACTACCAATAGTTTTAAGACCTTATATAAGAATATATACATACGTATGCACTCATAAATGTCTGTACGTAGACATATGCATGTATGTGTATGTGTGCATATGTATATATATATTTTGCTACATAAAGCACAAAGTGATCTTGCCTATTAGAGATTCATTATTCAACTTATGAGTCACTTCTAAAGCTTCCACAAAATGTTTACTTTAATTCATGTTTGTTTTACTGTTTAATACATATACTTACACTTTGCTTTTACAAAAAGTACGATCAGAACTAAATAACTTTAAAATAAATCACACTGGACAATTAACTACCTAATAAAATTATTTTTGAATTAAGATTTGCCTGGTCTTTCCTAGATTCACATGAAGCATGTTTATTATTAGAAGATATATAGGGAATTTATTTATAATGATGTTTCACCTAAAGTATATTCCCAAAGACAGAAGAAATACATGTGAGAAATTTCAGTTTGCTAAAAGAAAGTGCAATTGTGTTAGAAGCAGAAAAATGGTTAAGTGAAATAAACAGACTTGTAGTACAACCTTGCAAAGATTGCTAACGAGATCTTCCGATTTATCTCCAGTATAGGAAATCTGCTTCTGAAAAAAAATCCATAATATAAAAACTATGTACCTAACTATTTTCTCATAAACTTCCTCAATATAATTAGTGATGCATTGTGTGGTGGGGAGGAAAGATGTTTTCATTTAATAAGTAGGAATATTTTAGGGTTTATACGTTTAATTCTTTAATCTAAATCTAACGGGCTCTAAATACCCATCTTCCAATACGTCCATTTATCATTTTTCCACACTTATTCCTGCTGTGTGGAAATACTACCTGGGGAATTCTTAAAAGAGATCTGTCATAATAAAAATCACCTCTTGTTGGTTAAGTCTTTGACTTCTTCTAGGGTGAAAAGGAAGGAAATTAATTTTACCTACTATCTACTAAAGTGCTGCATAATTTTATTCAAATCAAGATGAATATTACAGGGATAACCCGTTCCTCTGTCACCATCAAAGATCTTTTAAGAGGGGGAAATGATTGAATAGGAAGTAATTCTTAATCTGGGATCCATGAATAGTATATTCATTCATTCATTCATTCACTTAATCAACAAATTTTACTGATTATGACCATAGATCCAAGCACTATTCCAAGTACACGGTATAGCAGAAAACAGATAAAAATCCTACCCTCACTAAGCTTACGCTTTAGTTGGGGAAGACAAATAATAAACATAATAAATAAGTAAAACATATAAAGTATGTAAAATAACAAGTGCTTTGTATAAAACAAACCAGGAATGGGGAAAAGGAGTGGTGTGGATGGGAGAATTCAAATGTTAAGAGTATCAGATGACACCTGGATAGAGATGAGAAGGTGAGGGGTGAATAACAGGGAAGAGAGTCCTCTAACATAGAGGGAACTATATATAGTTTTGGTATTCTTTACATGGATGAAGTTTTACCTTTTATAATGGTGTTTCCTTCTTGTAGTTGAAGCTAGGGTCAGAACCCTCAATCTGAAGCTTCAGGGCTTGTTTAAGGCTTAATTCTGTCTCTGAGGAAGGATACCCTTCTAACACTTCCTGATGCCCTCTATCTTGTATTGTTCGTGGGACTGAAACTCTGCCAAGAAAAACCTGGTTGCTTTGAAGATGATAATTTGGATTTGTCATTATTCCGTTTCTCTTCTTCTGTTCCCCACTTTGTTGGTGAATAAGAAACTGCTGTTGAGAACGACCAATTTCCTGCTGATTTGAAGGTACCATAATTTTGCACTGAGAGTCTGCTGGCATTTGTTTAGGTGGTACACTAGTCCCACAGTTGGCTGTGGGTCCTCTCTTATCAAATTGAGTCATTTCGTATTCTAAAACCTTTGGCTGTGAAGAATTGCTCTGTTTAGATTTTTTCCCAGCAGGCCCTGGTTTGCTGGAATTTTCTGATTTCCCTCCTTTATTTGCTTTCGTTGACTTCAAACTGGGCTTTACTTGACTCCACTCAAACTCACTACTCGGTGAATTATGACTCTGTCCTAAGGACTGTGTTGTGGAAGATGGGGAAACAATTGACTGTCGACTTCTACTGCGTGGCAATGAATGCTGCTGAATTTGTTCTGTGAATGACAAGTTATGAAAGCTATCAATGGGCACTGTTTGAGCTGTTGCTGTAGATGAAGTGGTTCTCAAAGAAGAATTTTTTGAGCTTTTCAGGGAATTGTTTGACAGTGAGGACTTCTGACGATCAACTGTAGAATCTGGAGATTCTGAAGGAGAACTGAATGCATGGGCTGGCCCATTAGGTAAACCACGCAATGAAGGCTGCATATCCCCTCCACCAGTGCTACCAGAGCTATTTGATTTAATTGTTAAGGACTGCATTTTTGAAGACGCTGATTGGAGAGGTTTTTGCTCCATTGTGTGAACAGGAGATGGAGAACAACCATTCAAACTAGCCGCACCATATTTTTCTAATAATTTAATTATTTGGGAATGTCCATTTTTGGCTGCAACACGCATAGCAGTGCGTCCAAATTGATCAGCATGGTTTGGATCAGCACTGTGCTCTAATAAAACCTGCACAACATCAATGTGCCCTTCCTGGGCCGCAATACAGAGTGCAGTTGCACCTTGATTACACGTATGGTCGACGACGGCACCATGCTCAATCAGAAGCTGAACCACTTTCACATGGCCTTGCCAGGCAGCAGACTGCAAAGCAGATCGCTTTTCGTTGTCTGCAGCATTGACATCAGCATGGTAGGTTATCAGAACCTGCACCATTTCCAAGTGGCCTTGCCAGCAGGAAACGTGAAGTGCTGTCCTTCCTTCAGCATCACTTGCTTCTACATTTGCACCATTTTCTAAAAAATACTCAGCCATTGTAAGTTGGTTTTCTAAGGCCAAAATATAAAGTGTAGGTCTACCATCAGCATCTTTGTAGTTAACATCAGCTCCATGGCTAAAAAGTAATTCAACAATGTCTCTGTGTCCTTCTAAGGCAGCCACCCGCAGTGCATTTCTTCCATCATAACCTCTTTGATCAATGTTGGATTTATTTTCTAATAATATTTGAACACAATCATAATGACCCTCTTGTGAAGCTAATATGAAAGGTATTCTCCCATCATTATCAATCTCATTTGTTCTAGCACCTTGCTCAATAAGTGCTTCACATATTAATCTGTGACCTTCAAAAGCTGCCATGTGCAAAGGTGTCCATCCAGCATCATCTCTGTGATTTTCATCTAACCCTCTATCCAGTAAAGTACGTACCACTTCAACATTTCCTTGTGCTGAAGCTATGCTGAGGACTGTCCTACCTTCACTATCAATACTATCCACAGCTGCACCCCAAAACAAAAGTGTATTTACAACGGAAGCATGACCCATAGATGCTGCTGCTAAAAGGGGTGTGCGACCATTGTTATCTGTGTGATCTACGTCTGCTCCACCCTCTAGAAGCAAGTCAACCACATCAACATGTCCTTCATACGCAGCTACCAGCAGTGGAGTCATGCCATCTTTATCACAATGATCTACTTCAGCACCTCGATCGATGAGAAGGCTAACAACTGATGCGTGCCCTTTACTTGCAGGCACACAAAGCGCAGCCACAGAAAGCGCAGTCCTGCCGTCAACATCCTCATGATTTACTTCTGCTCCATGGTCCAGTAGGTGTTCCACAATCTCTCTATGTCCCATGTATGCTGCTGCTATCAAAGCAGTTCTACCTTCATTATCAGCTTTGTTGACTTCAGCACCATGTTGCAGCAAATTCAGTACAATATCCTCATGTCCTCCCCATGCTGCTGCTCTTAAAGCTGTTCGGCTATCAGCATCTGCACAATCCACTTTTACACCAGCATAAAGTAGGGCAGAAACGACTTCAGTATGGCCACCCCAAGCAGCAGATCTTAATGCTGTCCAACCATCTTGATCAGTATGATTAATATTTGCTCCACACCCAATCAAACAATTAACCACCTTGGTATGTCCTTGTCTAGCGGCTAGGGTGAGTGGTGTATGTCCATGAGCATCTTCTATCTCTAAGTCCGCTCCCCTAGAGACAAGTAAATTCACTACATCAAGATTGCCACTGTATGCAGCATTAGCCAGTAATGTTCTCCCATTTGAATCACACTGATTTACTGAAGCTCCGTTATCTAATAATGTCCGGATGGAATCTTCTCTTTCTAAGGCTTGTCTGACTATGCACGATGTGCGATCATCTTCACTGTTGACGTGAGCACCAGCTTTAACCAACAGCTGTAGAACTTCTTGTTCCTTGGGTATTAAAGTAGACAGAGAGTCTCTGACAGGTGTACCATTCCATATCATCCACAGAGCTAACTCAGCTGTTTCTAACTGTAAGTTTGAATTAATTAAGTGCAATGCAAATTCTTGTGCTTCCAATGGTGTTAAATTCTTGGCTTGACAGGTATAACTCATAGCCAACATTCTGTGTCCTTCTGCTGCGTTACATAAATATTTCTGAGTACAGTGTTTCACATCCAGAAGCCACTCTGCAAAACTATAGTGAAACAGTATTTTAGTGTTTCCTAGTCCATCAACAAGAAGTTTGGAGAGGACATCTAATTTGCGTTGGAAGTCTTCCAAGGTTAATGACATATTTTTAGTCCATACTGCATGATATAATTCCGTGCTGGTCAAAGGTCGACAGGCTGCAAGAATAACATTCAAAATAGGCTGAACCTTTGCAAACTGTTTTCTTACAAAAAGTCTTTGACACAGCCAGAGATACAGACCATTCAGAGTTCCTGGAATATCACGGATCTCTCTTAACATAATAAAATTTTCTACAACTCCATCTAGAACCCGTTCTAGATAAAGAAAGCATCCACTGCTCTTAATGTGCAGTTGATTTAACATCTCTGCGGTTTCTTTTGTGAGGTGTTGTCGCAAAGCTTCTTCTTGATCTAAACGATGAAGAATGTACTGTTGGACATCCTTGACAATATATGCCTTCCGAAGGTCATCTAAACTTATTTTTCGAAAACCTAGAGAAGAAACAAAGAAGTAGGTGTCATCAGTGGTAAATTATTATAGAAGTTGTCATATATTCAAAAAGAACATCTTCAGTGTCCTGATTTTCAGGAAAAAAAAATTACTAGTGAACAAATCAATTAATAATACCCATTAGTATGTAAATTGAAGGAGCCCTGGTGGTGCAGTAGTTAAGTGCGCCACTGCTGACTGAAAGGTTGGCGGTTTGAACCCACCAGCCATTCCGCAGGAGAAAGATGCGGCAGTCTGCTTCCCTAAAATCTGCAGCCTTGGAAACCCTATGGGGCAGTTCTACTCTATACTACGGGTCATTATAAGTTGAAATCGACTCAACGGCAACGGGTTTAGTATGTAAATCAAACAGTTTTTCCCATTTCTGATAAAAAAAAAATTGATAGCAGATGAACTATTTTATTTTCCTATCTACAAATGGAACTATTTCTTACTCTTTAAGTGGCTCAGTGCTCCTCTCAACTTCAGAAATACGAGATACTAAGCATTAGACAATCTTACATATCCACGAAAACACCTTGTTAAGATTTCCTGAACTCCCTAACGATTAAAAAGTTTTTTTGTTTTTAAAGGTTGATCTTTTTCATATGATTAATTTATATATTTACACTCCTACATTTGAATATACACTAGGTTTAATTATGGGATTGAATATTTCATTCAATTAGAACACCACCCATCATTATTGTTTATATTACTTTACATACTATTAAATACAATCTCAGATTGTCAATAAATAGCTTGAACCATTTTAAATGCAACTAGGTCAGATATTATTAACAATTCTTCAGCAATGTAAAAATAAAGCAACTTAAGAAAATTCGAACCACTTTAAAAATATACTAGTTACACCTATTCGAAACTCACTTTAAGTTCTTTAAAGGGAACCATAATTTCATTTTCTGAAGGGAGGTGGCACCATGATTTTTATTAAACAATTGTGCATTCACCTTACTGAAGAAAAAACTGCTCAATGAGTGAATTCACGTAAGAGATGTAAAACTAGAAATTCCGCATTGATTAGTCGTTTTATACTGAGCAATAATGCTTTACTCAATTAAATAAATCAAACATATATATATGTATATATATTACCGACTATACGTCAGGGACTTTTAATTTTGTGATGAGAAGCTGGTGAGGAATTTTGACCAAGGCAATTAAGACTGACCATATTTGCATTTTGAAAGACCATTCTAATATCACTAAAGGTAGATACAGAAGGGCTGGAGTTACATAAAACGTTTCAGAGGGGTTGTGATAAAATCTAGATGAGATAATGAAGGCCCTGAACTACTGTGGCAGTTGCAGCAGCAAGGACAAAAACAAAGCATGGATTTGAGAACAGTTAAGGGCTTGGCTGCTAACCAAAAGGTCATCAGTTCAAATTCACCAGTCGCTCCTTGGAAATCCTATGGGGAAGTTCTAATCTGTCCTATAGGGTCACTATGAGTCGGAATCGACTCTATGGCATCAGGTTGGTAATACGAAGATGGAAAGAGAAAAGGAGGAGTCAAAGTTGACGTTAATGTCTGAGTTGGCCAAAAGAATGGAAAACTTGATCACTGAAAGATAAATAATAACTTCAGAGAGAAACCGATAAATTCAGCTTTGTAATACTAACTTTGAGGTGCTTAGGTGGACAAAGCCCCTTTTGGGTGGGTTCAAACCACCAACTTGCTGACTAGTAGCAGAGTGCTTAACCATTTGTGCTATCCTAACATATGTTAAAAGAGCCCTGGTGGCACAGTGGTTAAAGCACTCAGCTGCTAACCGGTAGTTCGGTGGTTCTAACCCACCAGCCACTCTCCAGAAGAAAGATGCAGCAGTCTGCTTCCGTAAAGATTACAGCCTTGGAAACCCTATGGGGGCAGTTCTGCTTTGTCCAATAGGGTCGCTATGAGTTGGAAAGGACTCAGCAGTGGGTTTGGAACATATATTAGGCCTTTGGGTAGCACACACAGCTTTAAACACACATACACACACATATATTCAGAGAGAGAGAGAGGCTATCCTTACCAAGTCTAGGCAGAACTAAGTGGGATATTAAAAATATAAGGAGCATAAAATTATTACAATTTTGGTATTTTGTTTACCGTTGCATCTTCAAAAAGCTAAACTGAGTACAATTTCTGAACAGAAAACTATTTTGTAAAACTCGACAATTATCCTTCAAATAACTTTCTAATTAGCAAATACCTTAAGTCTCATTTATTATGCATTCATTGGTTCAAATAATCTAAAATGATAATATATAGCCTTAAGATCTGTACAAAACAAAAGAACGACTGACCATCCCAGTCCCTTTCCATACTTCTGCATTCTGTAAATGTTTTCAATGATATTTCACTTTATATCTAACAGGAGTTCAAATATCTCTCTCTCTGATGTATTAAATCTTCTTACATATCATAACAAATCAGTCCCAAATGTTGTTCCTGGCATCCCAGTGAGTTACAAAATCATTTGAAAGAATGTTTCTGGTCACACATCAAGTTAAAAAGAATATTATTTTTTCAACCTTGATACATTCAATTTACCTACTTTATAATTTTTATTTTCTACTTTGTTTTAATCACACTAAAAAATCTCAAGTTTATCAGACAATTTTAATTTACCTTTAATAAATTTTCTATGTATACACAACTCATCATTAAATCCTTAACACAAATAATTTCAAAAGAAAAATTTCAATTTTGAAAAAAGACACTCCTGACCTAAGAAGGAAGTAAACATGGCTAGAAACTTGTAGCAATCTATATTTACCAGTGTTATAAAACGACTTGCTTTCAAAACTTCGTGTGTTTATACATTCATTAAAACAATTTAAGTTGGAAAAGGGAAAATACTTGGCATGCTAATTTAAAAAGTTATTTTTAAAAATGATACTATCCTACATTTATATAGCATTTTACAGCTCCTGAATCGATCTTGTACATACTTTCTGATTTACATGAAAGATCACATAAGCTATTATAAATATCTATAATTTAAATCTAATTAACCAAGATATTATGATGGAAACCTTGAGATAATTTAGAAGCTAGATTAAATCTCCACAGGAACAAGTTCAGTTTCTGAGAAGAGAATGAAACTATTCAACATTCACTGAGATTCAACTATTTTTAAGGCAGCATTTTAAGTACATCTCATAGATAACTTCATTTTATGTCAAACCCATGTTAAGTCTCCCTATCTAAAAATGAGGAAGTTAAAGCTCAGAAAGGTTATACAAATTGCACAAAGTCACATAGCTAGTAAAGGATAGCACCAGAATTCTGACTGTTTTGTTTGACTTTGAACTTTGTTCTTTTTATTAAGATGGGAATGTGAATAGAAAGCTGTCAAAGAGAATATGTGAACGTGACCGGGGGGAGGTAGACACATAGAATTCTAAAAGAAAATAAGTAGAGAATTTCACAGACAGTAGGTACAAAATGTTTGCAAATTAAACAATAACGCTTCTCCAAATCTAACTACTTAATAATATGAATTTGAATAGAGGAAATTATTATGTTCACCACAAACAGTAGTTATCTGTTTATTAAAACAGAACTAAAAATATCTGTTGACCAACAATTTGAATATCTTGAGTTAAAGTTATTGAAAATAATTATATTTAAAAAATTGCAACTTTTGACCCAATATCCATATAATTCCCTTTCCATGAACATGCACACTTTAAATTATTGCTATCAAAGCAGATTTTCATTTTTTCACTTCAGTATGAAAAGGCTAAAATGTTCAAAATTTCTCAGGGAATAAAAACATGCTTTACTAAAATGTGGAACTGCTTCTCTGTTGGACCAATTCTCAATTTTTAAAAATATTTCTCAGAATATGAGACTACTTAGTGCTGGTGAAATTACAATGACAGAGATGATAGGACTTGTGCCAGTATTCACAAACTGATGCTCACTGAGACTATTTACTGACCCGCAGGGGCAACAGATATGAAAATAAAACCTAAAGCACTACGACAAGAAGAAAGGTGAGTGAATTCTGGCACATTAGTATGATAAATTATGTAGCCATTGAAATAGTCATTAAAAAGAAAATGAAGCAACACTAAAAAGGCTTACATAATGCTCAATTTAAAAAGCACGAAATCAAATTGTCACAAAGTATGATCTTAACTAGGTAGAGCAAAATACACGGAATTTAACACAAAGTGTAAAGAATGGTTAATTATCACTTTATCTCTGAATGTTGGAGTATTTGTGAATGTTATCGTTTTTAAAATCTTCCATAGGAAGCATATCTTACATTTATAATCAGATAAAATAGACATACATAAAAATCTTCAAAAATCTTTGAGGGTTAATGTTTTGTACACAAAATGTTTTCAAATGGGCTGCTATATTTTTCGGTCCTACAACAAGGCCTAATAGCTATTAGCCTATAATTATAGCCTCATGTGTAGCCAAAATTTTGTATAAGTGCCAAAGTGATTTTCATTAAATCAACTCTTAACTAATGAAATGCTACTGGTCATTATAGTAAATACATGAGGAAAGGGAAAAAATCTCTTTCCAAAATGTTAAATTCTTAGATATAACTTGGTGAAACTGATTTAGACAGTAAAAATCTTCATGTTACCACCTACGGTGATGTACCTGCCAACTCTAATTTTGAATGCAAACATCTCAAATAAAACATAAGCAAAAAGAAATGTATAGGACATACACAAGAAAAACTGAGAAAAACTTGAATAAATGAAGAAATAGGCTATGTTCATGAAAGGAGAGAAGGCATATTTTAAATATGTCAAACTTTTCCTAATTTAAAATAAAAGTTTAAACAAAATCTTAATGAGTTTTATTTGTTCATTTATATCTTGTTAAAATTTTTTAAAAATATGCTATTTATCTGGAGGAATAAAGGTAAAAACATAATTTAGATACACTTCAAAAGAATTAGTATAATTAAAAGAAGTTTAATAGTTGCAAAGAATGACAGAATATGAAATAGCCTTAATATATATAAAGATCTCTTTAAAATTTGATAAGAAAATCACCAGTGTGGATAAAAACATAAGTAAAGGTCAGAGGCAATAATTCACGGGGAAAAAGACAAATTGATAAAAACAAAATAAAAGGGAAAGCATCCAATTGTAAACGAGAAGTGCAAACAAAATGAGATACCATTTTTCATACATAAAATTGGCAAAGATTAAAGAGAGACATAATTTAATGCAGTTGGAAATACAGAGAAACCAATACTCTCGGAAAGGAACAAATCTTTCTAGAAAGCAATGTGACAGTATGTACTAATAGCTTTAGAAATATTATTAAATTTTAGCCCACAGTTCCTATCTAGAACTCTACGGAAATCTCTTCAAAGGAGACATAGACAAATGCTTCGATACAGTCCAGTATTTTTTTATGACAAACAACGTTTCGGGGGAGGAGTAGGGTAAAGGAGTCTGACTGTAATCCTGTTCCTTCTGATTCCAAGTTCTATGTTTTTTCCACCCAGATACAGTTCAAGGAAAATAAAAATTCATTTATTCATTCTCCAGAAAATAACTGAATGACAGCTTTGCTTGAAGCTGTTCTAGATTCTGGGCAGATATAGCAAAGGAGAAGGCAGGCAAAATTCCTATTCTCATGGAGGCTATATCGTAGTGGAGGAGACGGACAAGTAAACAAATATAAATACATTTTAAATAATAATAAGATAAAGGAAGAAAATAAAATATGATACAGACAGTGTGTGTAATTAGGTTGCTGGTGTTGTTGTTAGGTGCCTTCGAGCTGGTTCTGACTCACAGCGACCCTAATTACAACAGAATGAAACACTGCCCAGTCCTGTGCCATTCTCAGAATCACTGCTGTGTTTGAGCCCATTGTTACAGCCACTGTGTCAATCCATTTCACTGAGGGTCTTCCTCTTTTTCACTGATCCTCTACTTAAATGAGCATGATGTCCTCCAGGGACTGGTCCCTCCTGATCACATGTCCAAAGGAAGTGAGACAAAGTCTCACCACCCTTGCTTCTAAGGAGCATTCTGGCTGTACTTCTTCCAAGACAGATTTGTTCTTTCTTCTGGCAGTCCGTGGTATATTCAATATTCTTCACCAACACTGTAATTCAAAAATGTCAATTCTTCTTCGGTCTTCCTTATAACACAGCAATTCCAAGTCTAGGTTTATACAGTAAACCTTCAACACATGTGCACAAGGAGACATGTACAAGAATGTTCACGAAGCATTTTTTGAAACAGTAAAAAACTGAAAACAATCTAAATGTCCATGAATAGGATAATGGAAAAATAGAGATTTACTCACGGAAAGGAATACTATACAGCAGTTAAAAACAATGAACTGGATTTATAAGCAGTAATAAGAATAGGGCTTAAAAATAAGATTAGCTAAAAAAAGAGTATGATAATGGTAAGAATAATAACAGCAGCAATGTATTTACAAAGCACTTAATATATATAAGGCATTGCTGTAAGTACATCAAACATATTTGTTATTTAATACAAAAATCTTATGAGAAAAGTAACATTATAATCCCCATTTTATAGAAGAGGAAACTGAGAAACAAAGTTTAAGTAAATTGCCTAAGATCACACAGCCAGTGAGTGGTAGAACTAAGATGGTATGTGTAGTGTTTCATGTATGTAAACTATAAAAATACACAGTATGTAAATACGAGTTGAAAGGATATAAAATTATCTAATGATACTGGTTGCCTCTAATGAGGAAGAGAAAGAAACGAGAGGACATAGAAGGCCAAAAAGGGCTTCAATTTTATCTGTGCCTGGCATGTTAACTGTTACATAAGTATTACCAATTATCATTTTAAGGAGTCCCCGGGTGGTACAAACAGCTACGCACTCAACTACCAACCAAAAGTCTGGCAGTTCGACCCCACTCAGAGGAGCTTCAGAATAAAGGTCTGGTGATCTGCTTCCCAAAGGTCAAACCCTTGAAAACTCTACGGAGCGCAGATCTACCCCACAACACATGGGGTTGCCATGAGTTGGAATCAACTCAACAGCAACCGATATGCTTTCTTGGTTTTTTTTTTTTTGGTATTATTATTTTAACTGCAAACCTTTTATCAACTACATTTTTATCGATAACTACAAAAAAGAATACTATACAAGGAAATCAAAAGTGCTGCCTTTATCAGCAGAGTCAACTGATAAGGAAAATAAAGCTGGTTACAGGAAATCATTTTAACAAATTAGTAAGTTTCCACTATATTATAAAACATATAGAACTATTTAAAAGTAATGCAGTTAACTATTTATTATCATTCAACTGTAATATAAACTGTGTGACTCCTCTTATTTCTGATGATGTACTTTTATATACTATATAGACTGTTCTCTCATATTGAAAAAAGGTTAAGAAAAGGGTATATTTTAAGAGATGTCCTGCAGGACTGCTGACAGTCTCCCTTCTCTCACCAAGAAAAATGCATCAACTACCACTGTCTCAAAAACAGGCATCTTTTTTACTTTCAAGACGCTCAGTCTAGTTCAAGGAAATACCATAAGCTGATCATGGTACGATAGCAAAATAACTGAAGACGCATAGACATGTAGCAGCTAATATGGCATGAAATACCCCTACCCTTTACTAAGGACATTTAGGAAAAGAATCTTGAAAAAAATGTAATGTTTAAATGATCTTAAAATATTCTATGGCTTTTTTTACATGTAACTAACAAACGCAAAAGGTGAGGTTGGGAATAGCTGGTAGAAGAAGCAGAAGCAACAATCAGACTTCCAACTGTGTACTTTCCTCTAACAAAGAGACACATCACTGAAAGACCCTTGAGGATGGCAGTAAGTAATTATGCTTACCAGTAAACATTTTAGTGACAGCCTTACTCTGTTTTCGGGCAGAACAGAGAAGCAACAGCCATGGTGGAAAGAACTCATGGTGACCAGCTAAAAGCTCTGCAACAGTCCCAGACAAGCTGGTAGACGTTTGTTCACCTTCAGTAATGTTACACCCTTCATCGACAGAATCAACAAGTAGATAGAGGCTTTGCTGGGGAGGCTTCATTCCCAAAAGAGGGAGCAGAACACACCTGTAAAACACATCCACAGGAGCATTTTGAATGTCAATGTCTATGATGTTACGATTTATTATTCAAACATTAGTATTACTAATTATAAATACATTCTAAGAAAAAAATCAAGGTTTTAGAATAAAAATATTGTACAAGTTTCAATTCCTCATTTTAAAGTGAGTACTCATCTTAGTTTACATTTCCACTAAGAACATTTTCCACAATAAAATGTTTGTGTATATTAACAATTTAGCATAATTAAAGAGAAGGACAGTAGGAACTCAAAGGAAACTAGAGTTCAATATTATATTCCCTTCCTAGTTTTGTGAGCCAATGATAAAAATCTTGAATTATTCACAAAATACACACGCAATTACAAATAAGGCTAAAATGTGTTGAAGAGAGGAAAAAAAAAAACAACTCTGGAGATCAACTTTAATGAAAAAAAGTTTTCTGAATTGTATCAGGGGTTGTAGAACCCACCCAGCGGCTCCGCAGGAGAAGACATGATGATCTGTTTCTGTAAAGATTAGAGCCGATAAAACCATATGGGGCAGTTCTACTGTCACATGGGTTCGCTACGAGTTAGAATTGACTCAACGGCACCCAAAAACAACAATACTGAATTTATAAAGTGTTTCATCATTTCTCTTATAAAACAATTGCACATTATACTAACTTATCACACACAGATTTTGAAAGACTGTAAAAAGATAGAAACTATAGTCCAGGTCCCATTTGATGTATCTTCAAATTTCAAAGTAAAGGATAAATTATTAGGTTTTATTACACTGAATAATGCATTTCCTACATATGTAACTTATATAGCAGTTGAATATAACCTTCTCAAAATTAAAACAATGCTCATTCAGTCTCAAGAAATATTAACTTGATGTGTGCCATATATCGAATATGACACTGAACAAAAAATAGTGAAGAACACAATCTACCCAGTTATGAAAACCAGAAATTTACAATCCTTTCTACGTCCCTCTTAACTTTAATCCTGTAGCCACCAGGATTCAGTTCATCATTATGTCCTATCAATCTCTTTCTAAAACTCTCTCAAACCCACCTCAGTCTCTAACATCATCACCCTAGTCCAAACTACCCTCATCTATTTCACCTGGACTATCATAAAAACGTACATGCCTTCAACTGCTCCCCTCCAATGAGTTCATACTGCAGCCAAAGTAACTTTTTTAAAATGTTACTCCAGCCACACTAGCCTTCTTTCAGTGACGTTTATTAGATATGATTACAGAAGACCTTTTCATGTGCAGTTTCAAAGTTGAATCTCATTTATATGCTTTCATAACATCAAATTTTTCTCCTTCACAGCATTATCAAATTTTCAATTTTATATTATTTATATCTATTTCTCCCTTTGGACTGTAACCATCATGAAAACAGAGAGTATGCTCATCAGTGTACCCTCAGAGCCTAGCATAGTGCCTTTCTCACAGTACATCCTAAATAAATACTTGCCAGTGTTGTAGTCTAGAATGGAAAACAAATAACTGCAATGCAGTGTCCTCAGTTCTATGATAAAAAGTTGTAAAGTTATTAATCTGGCAACTACATGGTCACTTAATCAAGGCAAGTGGGTAAAGGAGGCAGACTATGTCAGAAAAATATTGAAATATTAGGTGCTTATGGTGAACTAGGTTTTGAAGAACCATTACAATTCTCTAGGAAGATAAAAGGAAAGCAGGGCAATTCTGCAGAAGGAACATGCTAAGTATGGGGGGAAAAAAATCCTCACAACTGAACCAATAAGCAACATCATGATAAATGAAGAAAACACTGAAGTTGTCAAGGATTTAATTTTACTTGGAGCCACAACCAACGCCCATGGAAGCAGTAGTCAAGAAATCAAACAAGGTATTGCATACGGCAAATCTGCTGCAAAAGACCTCTTTAAAGTGTTCAAAAGCAAAGACGTTACTTTGAGGACTAAGGTGCACCTGACTTGAGCCGTGGTACTTTTAACTGCCTCATATGCATGTGAAAGCTGGACAATGAACAAAGAAGACCGAAGAAGAATTGATGCATTTGAATTATGACGCTGGCAAAGAATATTGAATATACCATGGACTGCCAGAAGAACGAACAAAACTGTCTTGGAGGAAGTATAGCCAGGATGCTCCTTAGAAGCGAGGATGGCAAGACTTCACCTCATGTTCTTTGGACATGTTGACAGGAGGGACCAGTCCCTGGAGAGGGACATCATGCTTGGTAAAGTAGAGGGTCAGCGAAAAACAGGCAGACCCTCAACGAGATGGACTGACACAGTGGCTGCAACAATGGGCTCAAGCATAACAACGATTGTGAAGATGGCGCAGGACCAGGCAGTGTTTCGTTCTGTTGTACATAGGGTTGCTATTAGTTGGAACTGACTCGACACCACCTAAAAAGTTTGGGAAAAATCTACTTTATTGTGCATTACAGATGTATTTCCACTGCTATGAACAGAAAGAAGGTTGGTGAAAAACCAGTAATGGCTTTATAGAATAATCAATGCCACTTCAGAGATAATAACACACTGCTATGGGAATACAGAGGAAGCTAACCTAACTTACTTTTGATAGTGATGGGGTGGGAGGAAGACGTCAGGGCAGTTGGGAACTAATGCTTTGTAAGGTAATAAGCCAGGAAAAGGAGCTAAGCCAGGAAAAAGAGGTAGCAGTAAGAGGAGGACACAGAAAACAATATAAAAATCTAGTAGAGGTTGACAGTACATGCAAAGGCTTGAAGAGGAGAAAGACCAGTGAACCAAGTGCAGAAGGAAAGAATTACAAAAATAAGTAAATGCTGAGCTTTGTAAGCTCTGCTACAAAATTTGGACCTTGCCCTAAGGAGGCAAAAAGAAAAGAAAATCTCTCTCTCTCTGTCACACACACACACACACACACACACAGTTGTTGTGTGCGATCAGGTCGATTCTGACTCATAGTGACCCTATAGGACAGAGCAAAACTGACTCTAGGGTTTCTTAGGCTGAAATCTTTACAGGAGCAGATCGCCGGGTCGTTTCTCCTGCAGAGCTGCTGGTAGGTTCAAACTGCTGACCTTTCAGTTAGTAGCTGAGCACATAACCACTATGCCACCAGGGCTCCTTATATACACATATATAAAAAACCAAACCAAACCCATTGCCAATGAGTCGATTCCGACTGAAAGGGACCCTATAAGACAGGGTAGAACTGCCCCATACAGTTTCCAAGGAGCAGCTGGTAGATTTGAACTGCCAACCTTTTGGTTAACAGCCGAGCTCTCAACCACTGCACCACCAGGGCTCCGTATACATGCATATTAACCCAAACCCATTGTTGTTGAGTTGACCCCAACTCATAGTGACCCTATAAGATAAAGCAGAATTGCCTCATAGTGTTTCTAAGGCTGCAATATTTATAGAAGCAGACTGCCACATCTTTCTCTTATGGAGTGGCTGGTAGGTTTGAACTGTCAACCTTTCGGCTAGCAGCCCAGGGCTTAACCAGCGCTTTAGCTGTTGTTGTAACACTTCAGAGAGGTCTTTTGCAGCAGATTTGCCCAATGCAGTGTGTCTTTTGATTTCCTGACTTCTGCTTCTGTGGGTGTTGACTGTGGATCCAAGAAAAACAAAATCCTTGACAACTTTTTCTCCGTTTATCATGATGTTGCTTATCGGTCCAGTTGTGAGGATTTTTGTTTTCTTTATGTTGAGGTGTAATCCATACTGAATGCTGTGGTCTTTGATCTTCATCAGTAAGTTCTTCAAGTCTTCTTCACTTTCAGCAAGCAAGGCTGTGTCATCTGCTAACGCAGTTTGTTAATGAGTCTTCCTCCAATCCTGATGCCCCGTTCTTCATGTAGTCCACCTTCTCGGATTATTTGTTCAGCATACACATTGAATAGGTATAGTGAAAGGATGCAACCCTGGGCACATCTTTCCTGACTTTAAACCACGCAATATCCCCTTGTTCTATCCAAACAACTGCCTCTTGATCCATGTACGGTTCCACATAAGCACAATTAAGTGTTCTGGAATTCCCATTCTTCGCAATGTTATCCATAATTCGTTAAGATCCACACAGTCGAATGCCTTTGCATAGTCAATAAAACATAGGTAAACATCCTTCTGGTATTCTCTGCTTTCAGCCAGGACCCATCTGACATCAGCAATGGCTCCAGCAATCCCTGGTTCCACGTTCTCTTCTGAATCCAGCTTGAATATCTGGCAGTTCCCTGTCGATCGTCTGCTGCAGCTGCTTATGAATGATCTTCAGCAAAGTTTTACTTGCGTGTGATATTAATGATATTGTTCAATAATTTCCCCATTCAGTTGGATCATCTTTCCTGGCAATAGGCATAAATATGGATTTCTTCCAGTCCATTGGCCAGGTAGCTGTCTTCTAAATTTCTTGGCATAGATGAGTGAGCACTTCCAGCGCTGCATCCATTTGTTGAAACCTCTCAATTGATATTCTGTCAATTCCTGGAGCCTTGTTTATCACCAATGCCTTCAGTGCAGCTTGGGCTTTTTCCTTCAGTACCATCGGTTCCTGATCATATGCTGCCTCTTGAAATGGTTGAACGTCGACCAATTCTTTTTGGAATAATGACTCTGTGTATTTCTTCCACCTTCCTTTGAAGCTTTCTACGTCGTTTAATCTTTTCCCCGAAGAATCCTTCCCTATTGCAACTCGAGGCTTGAATTTTTCCTTCAGTTCTTTCAGCTTGAGAAATGCTAAGCGTGTTTTTCCCTTTTGGTTTTCTATCTCCAGGTCTTTGCACGTGTCATTCTAATACTTTACTTTGTCTTCTCGAGCCAACCTTTGAAATCTTCTGTTCAGTTCTTTTACTTCATCATTTCTTCATTTTGCTTTAGCTACTCGACATTCAAGAGCAAGTTTCAGAGTCTCTTCTGACATCCATTTTGGTCTTT